CTGTACCAGAATTTTTCAGACCAATGGTTAAACGATCGATCAATCCAGGCTAAGCATATCATTAAGCGAAACAAAACTTCCTTTAATAGATCTGTTAACTCTAAATTACACTTGTGATTCGACTTAGCGTTCACATATGTCGGCCTAAGCCTATCTCCAGGACCAATGCTTATTCTTCCTTAATCCAATGGCCGACATGAAGCCGTGACTATTTACTAAAACAAACTCTCAGAGCCGATTGCTTGGATCGGCTGTTGGCTTTTATTGCTGATTTTAATGAAGCCTCCTACCCATAACTTGCCAGAAAAGCATATGAAGTCTGCTAGCTCCCAAAAGACTAGATCAGATGTTGCGATACTTACAGACTCATCAGCGTGAACCAGTTCGACATCATCTCCATGCCATTGAATCAAACATTGATGCATGGTTGATGGCACACAACAGTTTGTATGAATCCAATCACGACCAAGGAGTAAATTGTATGACCCTTTTCCATCGATGACAAAGAATGTGGTGAGCAGAGTCTTACTTCCGATTGTCAGTTCAACGTTCATTGCCCCCTAGGTCTTAGATGCATTACCTCCAAAGTCCTTAAGCATCATGTCGGTTTTAATCAAATCTCCTGATCCCTTGCCAAGTTTACGAAAAGTGTTGTAAGGTATGAGATTGATAGGAGCACATCCGTCCATCAACATCTTGTTCATCGGCTTCCCATCAACAAAACATTTTACATATAAAGCCTTTAAGTGCCGATGCTTGACTGATTTATCAAATATTGCCTATTGTATAACTGCCCACTTGGCAACTATCTCCTCATACTCCGATTCATCAAAATCTGAGTAAACTTGTTGATCTGCTGGAGCTCTAAACTCTGATGGCAACAGAAAGGCCATTTGAATGTTAGACGATGGTTGTCTTCTATCGGCTGTTTGCTTAGCACGCCATACTTGAGATTTACCGGATGTCTAAGCCTGTTCCAACTCTCTATTCCTTAGGCGTTGCACTCCTCTCTTCTGGCTTCTTGTTAAACCTCCTAGACACCATTGGTCTTCATACCAAACACATTCTTCTTCATTACTTTCATAATCAGCCCAGTTTTGATTAGCAACTCGTTTTCTAAGCCGATCATGAATACTTCCATTTTAAAGCGCCGATCCATGTTATTATGATGATACGCATCTTAAGCATGGATAGACCGGTGGTTGGCTTGAAATTGCCTAAACTCCCAATATTAATCGCTACACTCTAGACAGTTATTTCTGGTAGGCAATTTTAAACCTTTGTTCCAGTAATGTCTGAAGAAAGGACAATTCCAATGTGATTCAGCTTGCTTTCTTTCATACCTCTCTTTTTCCCATTGACGCTGGTATTCTTGCTCTTCTAACCAATTCTGATAATCCTTTTCCTTCTGCCGCTGCTATTTATTCAACAAAATTCAAGATGTAACCCGTGGCTTTGTCGCCCCATCCTTTGACGTTTCTCTCTGCTCATATCAGCTCTTTTGCTAGTCGCGATGTCTTTTAATTTCTCTGTATTCGTCAGCCGATATTTGCATCTCGCGATCGACTGTTCCAGTTTCTCTTGACTTGGTTGATGTCAGGACCTTAGTCTTTCCTTTGAGCAGCTTAGCATCGACCATGTTTTGATCTCCTGGGAAAGGATTATCATTAACTTTCATCTTCCGAGGCGTATCAAATTTGAGCCTCCCTTGCTGAATAGCCCTCTGTATATGCTGCTGGAAACTCTGCATTCATTAGTAGAATGAGACATAGCATTGTGAAACTTGCAAAACTTCTTATTTTTTAATTGATCAAGGGGCAACATAACATGATTATCGGGCAACTTGATCTGTCCCTTCTCAAGCAAGAAATCAAAGAGCTTGTCTGATTTTATGACATCAAAGTCATAGCTCTCCTTGACTCCTCTTCCCCAAGGATTTGGCACCATTACTGTCTTTTTGCCCTAATTCCATTCAGCCGCGGCAACCTCTTCTTCTTCATCTTCATAGCTGTCATCGACTGAATATGGATTATAAGCTTCGGCCACTGTGGTACTCTTCTGGAATTGGGTATCTCTACGCATACTCTAGAATTGGCTATTGAGTGCCGCCACTCGTTGAGCCAATTGACCTAAGTTGTCAAATTCTTGTCCCAGCAGCTTTTCTTTCTATATTGGCAGCATCCCTTGAACGGCCAAAGCAGCTAGCTAATCATCAGCCAAATTTAATGAGAAGCATAAATTCCTAGTCTCTTGAAACCTCTAAAGAAACTCAGTGTCTGATTCGTTAGTTCTCTGCCTTACAGTTGTTAATTTGATAATCTTCTTTTTCTAGTCCCAGTATAAAAATATGTATGAAATTTCTTTTTTAGGTCAACCCAATTGGCAATGGAGTTGACTGGCAGTGATGAAAACCAAATGAAGGCTGGCCCTGACAGGGATAAGGAGAAGAAATGAACTTGATGGGCCTCTTCAACGGATGCTTCGTCCAACTGTGTAAGATACCGATTGACATGTTCTATTATGCTTGTGCTGTCTTGTCCAGTGAACTTAGCAAACTCTGGGAGCCTATAATTTGTAGAAAGATTGACTAAATCATACCATTCTGGATATGGGCGTTTGTACGAGAAGGTCAGCCCTTTTGGCTTCAGACCGAACTGATTCTTCATCATCTCGGTCACCTTTAGCAACAACTCGTTAGCATGTGAATTTGAATTTCTCTGCACTCGCTAACCCATCTATGGATTGAAATCCCATGTGCCTTGATACCCTGGATTCGGAATCATGTGAAGGGAGTTATAATCTATACCATAATGATACCCCTATGGAATCTCTATCTGCTGGGTCCTTTGCTGGTTTGCTGCTTGAAGTCTCTAATTGTTGACATGAGGATCTATATCTCTACGGATTCTTTAAATTGATGGTGCTATTTTTTGAGCCGACAATGGTATGTGGCCTGATGTGCCAAAATTAATCATCTGGTTCTGACCTTGCCCCATCGGCTATTACACATGCTGCATTGACGATCCAGGATTATACTGTATCTGATTCGTACTAGTACCTTGAGCTTGCTCAGATGAACTCTAAACTATCTGGACATCATCTTTAACAGCTGGTGCTGCTTCTTGATGGCTGGTACCGACTTGATTAGTCCCCTAGGTCGACGGATGTGGAATGTTATAATAAGCCGGCCCCACCTGATCAACTGGAAACCCATGAAACACCTCCTTCATGGTATTGTGGAATGTGTTCAAGAAAATTTTATTATGGTTTAATATGACATCATGAATAGATTTGTTTATAGCTTCCATGAAGAAACGCCTGTCTTCAGTATCATCTGCATCTGTCTGCCCATGCAATAGAACTCTTGGTAGTGGACAATTATATTGTCACATGTTTTGGTGTAGGACAACAAACACTTGTTCTAAAATTCTTCTATAGCTTTACTGATGACATCTTTATCTCCATCAGGTAGGTCTTCATAAGGTACCATAAGGATGTCGTTGTAATTGTAAGCCGCCATGACGATTGTGGGGTCCCACCGAGCGTGCCAGAACGTGTGTCGGCACAAAAATTCGTCTCGTGCTGGGCACACGAGCAAGCTAGAAGGATCTGCTCGATGGAGCTATAGATCCGCCTGGCTTCAACGTAGGGGTGGTCGATCTTACATACTTCTTCCGAGACGTGCTAGTCAATTTGACCCTACAATTGACAAGGAGAGAAAGTTTATCAGTAATTTAAAGCGGAACATGCCGGTGTTGCCAGACAGTTCCGAATGTGCGGCTATGAGAGCTGATGTGAAAGGAGATCGACTAAATAGCCGATTCTAGTATACTCATAATAATAAATCAGTTAAAGCTCATAAAATTATGGAAGAAAAAATCGGTTATCATTTAGGATGAATATCATTATTTAGATAAATATTAGTCAATGGCAATAGGATTTCAACAGTAATCATTTTATGCTAAGCCAATGACTGCAAGTAACCGAATCTCTTTTTACATAAAAGAAATAACTCATCATCATTTAATCATTTAATAGAGATAAATCTAACGAACATATTAGATCTCATCTATCGCTATGACCAGTGGGGTATGAGGCAGAATCATGTAGGCCGTAGAAACAATAATAGATTTGATGACCCTAACTTATTACTAGTATTAGTGGGGTATGAGGTAGAATCATGCAGGCTATAACGCAATAATAAGATCATGGGACTAACATAACCTTCAACCTACCCTTACTTCAACGGTCTCGTGGCATGAACTATATATATGAAAACACTCGATATCGGCTAAAACAGCCGATTCAGACATAGCGCACAGTTAAGGTCATGCCCTATCAGTAACAAATCTACCAAATAATGGTCCTTGCTCCACGGTGCTAACAGTGGGGTGTGAGGCAGAATCACACAGGCCGTGATAATGGGCCATGGAACGGTTTTCGTTAGCCGGTAGATCTATTCAAGACCAGGCATGCCTTAACCGCACACTATGCGTGATCAAGATTGACATAAAATAACCGATAAAACATAACTCATCGTTTAAGGTGCAGATTAGATCAGTTTAGATTAATAAGCGATAGGTTAAATAGGATATAAGGCCGATCTAGATCAATCCCTAGTCATTCAAAAAGATCCGATTCTAGAGTCGTATCTGAATCAGCTGATATCGATCCTTATGCAATTGATTCCTTGATTGGCATAATTTTGGAAGCCTTCGAATTCTCGCGTTCTCCTTCCAAACTTTGATGTAAACGACAACAGATGCAACCAAAAGTAAATCAGGAAACGATTTGCATAGATAAGACTATAGAAAAGACTAAGACGACACACCGATGTGGTTAGTCGCAAAATGCAATTCGAGGCCATCGTGGGAAGGCGTGCAATCCTTGGTTATCACACCAGCGTTGTTGTTGCCGAAAAGACGAAGCAATAGCATCATTTCTTTTCCTCCCTTGAATGGAATTAGTGGAGCAATTTCAGTAGAAGTACAGTTCTTATCTCACATGAGAATGTTGAGGGGCATGTTCAAAGACTCGAACTCGGCGGCGAATCTCCTCACCGACGCCATACAGCTGAGGTCCAGCTCTAGCACGTTGACTCTGGCTCCTGGGATCTTGGCCACGATGGCCTCCTTGGCCGCGAGCCCGGCGGAAACATTGCGGACGGCTATGATGACGTGCACGCCGCGCAGCACCATGACCCGCGCCGTCTCCAGCCCGATGCCACTGGACGCACCTGCACCGTAGTAGTTCCACAAGCTTAGCTCAGACAGTCGCACTAGCAGAGAAACGACTTTTGATCCACTTTGAAATTTGGCTTTAGTCCCGATATTTTTCGCGTCTGGGACTAGAGAAATCTTTAGTCGGTTGGTAGCTTCAACGGGACTAAAGATCCTCGCCCAACGGCCATGCGGCATGCTTTTCTTTGCGAGGGACCTTTAGTCCCGGTTAAAGCTACCAACTGGGACTAAATGTTAACTTTTACTCCCGGTTGGTTCCTTCAACCGGGAGTAAAAGTCTACTCCCGACTGGAGGCTCCGTCCGGAACTAGAAAGGGACCTTTAGTCCCGGTTGCTGTCTTCAACCGGGACTAAAGGTCCCCTCCTATGTACCCTAGCCTCCCTACCCGTCAGCCGCCCCTCACCCTCTCTCTTTGTCCCCTTCGACCCTCCCTCCCTTTCCACAGGCATCGTCCCTCTCTCTCCACCTCCCATTCATGACCCCTCTCTCTCATCGGCGTCAGGCAGCAGGGGCGATGCAGCGGTGGTCCTACGGCTCCTCAGCTCGTGTCGTCGTGTGCGCCCTCCCCAGATCCCGACGGCATGAGGTTGCGGCCTTGCTGGGCCCTCGGCTCCCGGTGGCCATGTGAGCCTCGCCCAAAGACCAGCTCCGGCCTAATCTCTCCTCTCCACCAATGACTTCTCAGATCCCGGTAGAGGCGAGAGAGCTAGTGCCAGTGCAGCTCTCGGCGACATCTGGGGAACCAAGAAGAAGCAGACTCCATGAGCTCAAGACGCGCAGGCGACTGACTCTGTCGACGAAGAACACAACAGGATCGCCACGGTATTCATTCCCTCCTTTCCTCTTCTTTGCTGGTACTTTGTGTGCTAATTCTATTTGTTGCTGCACTGAGCTGCTAGTGGATTTGGTTTTTGTCACGATTTGGCAGATTTCTGAGTGGATTCGTTATGGCGGACTAGATCTGGAGCGTTGCCTATCTGCATGGCTATGCAGCAGCAGTTCAGAAGCTGAGTGATTCATTTTGCTACTGCTGTTTGTAGGTAGTATTAGCTGTATCTAGTGTTTTAGTCATGATGTAAAAAATGGCACTTGTAGCATATTCGAAATGTTGTAGGAGTGTGTTTGAACTGTGATGGGTGTATGATACTTGGGCAACATTTTTAGATGCACTAAGCACTTGCAAGAAGAGTTGTGTAATGTTCTCTGTTTTTATATGATGTAGTTGACAATCATCAATTGAAAATAGAAAAAAAAATTTGAAAACCTTTAGTCCCGGTTGATAATGGCCCACGTGGTCAGATCGGGAGGCCTTTTTAGCCCCGGTTGTTATTATCAACCGGGGCTAAAGGTGGATCTTTTGTCCCGGGCGAGAAATCGAGACTAAAGAAAGAGCCCTTTAGTTCCGGATTCGTGCTCCCGGTTGAGAAACCGGGACTGAAGAAGTTTCCCAACCAGGAATAAAAGCTTGTTTCTGTACTAGTGGTCTCAACCGAAGGATCGGAGGAGTATTTTTCTGACGAGTGAGTAGTGACGGTGTGCGTGCCCATACGAGCCGTATGGAATACCTGTGATTATGGCGACCAGGCCGTGGCCATCGACGCCGGCGGTGACCTCCTCCGCGGTGGAGCCGCGGGAGAAGCCCGAGCGTCCTTCGCGGGAGAACAACAACCCCATCAGCCAGCAGATTTGACTGGCGATACTATGACGTGTTTGATGAGGCTGGCTGGAACGGCGTTGTGGACTTGTGGTTTATGGTGCAATGATTTGATTCTGACAACAAAGCATAGAGAAGATCTGAACACAAAGTAAGCCCTAAGCACATGCAATTGTTTTTGGAGTTGAACTTGAGCAAAGACATATTTTTAAGAGGCGTACGCGATGCACGAATTCAGTATTCCGACCATGGCCCAGCTGGATCCAGCCTTATGACTCCCCACCACCCCAACCCCCTCACCCTAACCCCAAAAAACAAACCATCGATCCCTGGTAACGTTAAGCAATCTTTTCTACTATATGCACAAGATTTGAAGTTCATCGCTTGGATGGATTTTCTCCGAACGAAGTATAATAACTAACTCCGAAGGGTCCAAGTATTTTTTGGATCGAAGTATTTTTCTCACCCGGTAGGTGGTTGAAGTCTTTTTCACCTAAAAAATTGAGATATTTGTCAATTTTTTTTAATTTACTAACATAAGTGCCCGGGCATTGCAACGGAAAAAAAAACTATCAAATGTTTATGGAGAATGAAGACATGAATAGTATATATTTATTTATGTTTTGCTCTACAATATTGATACATTGTTTTTCGGTTGCAAAGTACAAAAGTATTTAGACGTCAATATATTATAACTTTAGCTTTCACACTATGCATGTGTTGCTACAGTTAAATGTCGAGTTGCATGGTTTTCTTTGACAATCCATAAACATATGTAATTTTAATCTTTTATTAAAGTCAGCAAAGAGTAGTTGGTAACGTGTAAAAATTTGGTCTATCCGTCGATAATTATGCTGAGAGACCTTCTTGATTTTTCAATCGGCAGCTCTTGTTATGGATCATAAAGATACATTTATTTAGATCAGATTAGATAACAAAGTGGTTAAAATTGCACATTGTTTGATTAGTTGGACAAACAACTAATCAAAATTTAGTAAAAATAAGTTTTGTTTATACTTAAAATTACATCAATAGTTTAGTATTGCAAAATTTTGTTTTTAGAGGAGAGATCAATTCAAAGACTCACAATGTTATATTTTTATTTTATTTTATGAGAAAAAAATTACCGGTCAAAAACATAGAAAAAAAACACTGGTCGAAAACTACAACTGTAAAAACGGAAAACAAAAAAACAGAAATGTAAAGGGATTACCGAGAGAAACAAAACAAAAAAAAACCCGAAATAGAAAACGAAAAATTTGAAACACAGCCAATGGAAACAGAAAGCAAAGTAAATAACCGGAAACAGGAAAAGGAAAAAAATCAAAAAGACAAACGATGGAAAGGAATTGGAGACGGAAAACAGAAATTTCATTTGTTCTGTTCCTTTATTTATGTTCTTCCACACGTATTTTACTTATTTTCACACTTCTCCATGGATTTCCTTTTTTTTTTTAAAAACTTCTGCACGGAAGCCTTATTCACCGCACGCAACTAAACGCCGCAGTGCCTGGGCGAGTCCGCGGTCTGCGGTCCGCCACGCCCGCCGCCGGCGACTCCCCAGGAACAGCCGCGCCCGCCCTGCCGAACTCCGGTCCCTCGGAGTCTGCCGAGCCGCGTCGCTCAGAGCTCACCGTGCCGCCATCTTCAGAGCTGCGTCTCCACGCCGCCGTCCTTAGAGCCTCGGAGTCTGCCGAGCCACATCCCTCGGAGCTGGCCGCGCCGCAATCTTCAAAGCTGCCTCTCCATGCCGCCGTCCTTAAAGCTTGCCGCTTCGTGCCGCCGTCCTCGGAGGTCGCCACGTCGCCGTCGGAGCTCACCGCGGCGTCCTCCCGCTCCGCCCGTCCACCGGCCTTGCTCGCCTCGGCGGCAAACTGGACTACGGCCGAGCCATGGCCTACGCGAGCTTCCGGGGGCAATGTAAACCTACTATTTTTTAGCTTCTTCACTCTTTCACGCTTGTCTCAGCGGAAAAACCGGTGCTTCAGCACTGAAGCGCAGCGGAGGTGCCCGTTTGGTACGTCCACACGCGAAGCTGCACGCTCGTCTACAAAATCGAGTTTCCGATGGTGAGACCCAAATCCGATTCCGTAGGAAAGCGTCGTCGAGATCAATCGCAAGTTCATCTTGATTTCCATCCCTTTCTCTCTTTTTGCTTTGGTTTGACCTGATTTATTAATTGTCTAATATTTCTTCGTATTCTCGTCGATTTGGATTCCTATTCTTACTTTTTACCCCATCAAGAAGCACAGTATTTCAGATCGAACGAGAGAAGGGTTGATACGTACAGGGACGGAAAAAATATCTTTACGTGTTGCGTTGTACTTGGACTCTGCAGATCGAACGAGAGAGGGGTTGATACATACAGGGACGGAAAAAAATTACACGTTGTGTTGTACTTGGACTCCGACTCTGCTGCCAGTTCAAGCATGATGAGACTCACAATTAGTCAACACAGACCATACCAAAAAAAAATAAGCAGAAATTTTGTCTCTTTAGTATTATGTAATTATAGATATAGATATAGATTTGAATTAAGTTTCTGTCGGTGTTTTGAACAGCCGACTAGTAAATTTATATATTGCGCGTCTGACCCGTCTGACCCGGATGGTGTGTTAAGAGGACACAAGAATTATACTGGTTCAGGCCGAATGTCCCAACGTTCAGTTTCGGTCTGCTCGTGTTACCATCACTGAATTGTAGTAGGGGTTATAAACAGACGAGAGAGGGAGGAGCTCCCAAGTCTCTGTGGTTCAATTGCTCAATGCTTCTACTGTTCGATCTATCGGTCGATCGATCTCCCTCCCTGAATGGTGTCCTGTCTTCCCTTTTATAGACCAATGAAAAAGAACAGGATACCAGAGACCGAGAGAAGGGAAGAGGGAAAAAGAAAGAGAAATAAGGCTTCGGGAGTGCGTCATCCTCCTCTTCGCGTGGGTCCTGCTGACCCTATAGATCGTGGTGGCAGCGGCCTCGCACCGGGGTCCTGTTGGCCGCTGCAGCATACGTGCGGGCGTCGTGCGCCATTCTTGTCTTCCATCCCATCCGAGTAGACGGAATGGTCAAAGGGTCCCCTGACAGAGGCCATACGGGGGCTATTGGTATAGTGCCAGTCAACTGACACCGGTCGACTGACGTTGGACGGTGGTCAGGCAGGGAGTTGGTAGCACAGTGCTAGCCTGTTGACGCGGTGGGCGACGTGAGTCTCCCAGCATAGCCTGAAGCGATCGCTAGTCACATCAGGACACGCCCGAGACGTGCTCCCAGGCGTGTCCCTCCATGCCGTAGTGGTTGAAGCGGTTCGGGTCCCACCCTGGGGCCACTGTTTTTGTCCGGTAGCAAATCCGACTCCCAGAAAACGGGTGAGGCGGAAATCTCGCCCTGGGGGCCGGGCGAGACGAAATCCGACCCTTGGGGGTCGGACGAGGCGGAGCCCTCCCCGTGGGACCAGACAAGTTGGAGCCCGCGCCCCAGGGTCGGAGGAGTCGAAGCCCATGCCTTGGGGTCAGACGAGGCGGAAACCTCATCCTTGGAGTCGGACGAGGCGTGGCCCGACCCCTGGGGGTCGGACGAGGCCGCAGTTGCGTCCTTAACCATCGGATGAGCTGACATGATGCTCATTGATCCTTTGGCTCGGATACCCGGGTATAGATATCCGACAGTAGCCCCGAGCCTTTGGAGGAGTGAGACACTACTGCAAAGTTTTTTTGCGATTTGTTGCTCCTGTGGCCGTTGTGCCGTGGAGGCGGGTCGTTATTGGAACTTCGGCGTCTTCCCCTTTGGTTTGTTGTACCGCATAGGGTAACAAAGTAGGATTTAGGCACCTAGCCTCCATGTGGAGGACTGGTAATGGCCGTGGAGATGCGCAAAGTTTCTACGGGCGCCCAGCCTCCGTGGGGAGGACTGGCAAAGGCCGCGAAGGCGCGCCTGTGGGATATTGGCACCCAGCCCATGAGGAAGGGACTAGCGAAGGCCGTGGAGGTGCACCGTGCAGACATAGGCGCCCAGCCCCTGAGGAGGAGACTTGTTGGTAATCCGTTTTCCACCGGGTGCACGCGAGCACACCCATTGCGTGTAGCCCCCGAGCCTGCGGCCGACCGTGGAGTCGGTCGGAGGCTAAGGACCTTGGTACTCTTTTTTGGGGTTGTGGACTCTTGTGTCCCTTCTGGTCGGGGTGTTCGCCCATGTCCGTTCTGACCGTAACCTATGCGGTCGGCTGGACTTTTGAGTCCAGGTCGGGTGGCTCGAGCCCCCGAGCCTCTAGGGGCCGGTCGGAGTCGGTCGCCTGGTTTCTTGCATCACTCCGTTAGTGGTTTTCACAACCGGAGGTGACTCGTCATTTGTCTGCGACCGCGTGTTCAGTCTCTTTGCTATGCCGAGCCCCCGAGCCCCCGCACGTATCTGGGATCCGATCGAGGGGTCGGTTTGTCTTGTGATCGTCATCCCTCATGTGTCCATTTGCTAGAACAGAGGGGCTGAGTTGTGCCATGCTTTCCTCGCTGGATGGAGCACGGTGTTCAGTGAGTTATTAATGGGCTTGTTCGATTGGAGCCCTGGCATCCCCTTTGCGGGGGCTCGGTTCAAGATCAGCTAGTGACTGACTCCAGATTCTTGGTGGCCGGTCCATATAGTTCTCGGATCTGTTCGACCGGTCCGAGGACTCGATGCCTTTCTTCGAGGAAAAACCATGAACCTTGCATCATCCAAGACTCGAAACAAGGGTCAGGACGCCCATGGCACTTTGCGCGCTTTGGGTATTGGCCGCTAGCAGGCCCGTCCTTAACCTCCCCTCACTCTAGGGTGCCCTGGAGCGGCCGTGAACCCACTGTTGGGCCAGCTTCGAACTCTTGGGCGTTAATAGGCCATGGGAGCGTTTTCAACTCCATATCCCATTTACCTGCCGGGGGCCGTAGCCTTTGAAGGTGAACAATCGCTCGACGGATCCTTCTCGAGGAAGATTTGGATAGGCATACACTCATCTCTTGAGGCAGCGATGCGACTGATGCAGCATGGAATAGTG